CTGTCAGACTGTCTGACATGTGTTTGTCAAACCTAGCCGGTGTGGTCTGCCCAAAGGTACTCATGTCTTTGGATAACATCCTAATTGGAGTGGCACCACATGTACTGGGACGGGAGCAAACCAAAGAGGTAATTTGTTTGTTGGAGTGAAACAAAGACAAGGGGGGGGGGGTACTTCGCATATTGTTCCACTGCGTCAATTGAGCGTGTGGTGGTGGGGGGTTGGACACGTTGTTCCTCCTCATGAATGTAGCACGAACAGATTTGTGTGAAACGCAGATAGGCGGGGTACTTTCGCAAGTTGTACCACCTCAGACAGACATACGGAAGAGTTGTTGTAAGGCGTTCAAGCGGCACTCATGAGGTTGTGGGTTCAACTCTCATTGCCCCCACGATAGTACCTGTGACATGCTTGGCGTCTTACCTTCGAGACGGTCAGTTGGTAAGCAAGTACGTGGTAGCTTAGTGGGCAGAGCTCCGGTGTTGCAACAAGGAGATTGTGGGTTCGACTTTGTCGACCCACAACTTCCCCTGAGCACAATTGGTTGGTGTAGGTTGCACTCCGCATACTTGTCCCGAGCCTGGCATAGTGCACTTACAGACTAACGACCTCAATAGCTCAGTGGGTAGAGCTTTGATATACTAACTTGGAGGTCATGAGTTCAACTCCGACTATGCTCATTCATCATATCAACTAAGGGATGATCCTCTACATGGTTTCGGGTGAGGACGTGTGCCTTTCCTGTGGGAAAGTTGATGTGGGATGGATGCTACTCTCTTGGGCAGGTGAGTAGTAAGGGATTGGTTGGGTGCATGGTGATACCGTGACAGTCCTATGGTGGGGAGGGTTGCCTTTTAGGGAAACCAATGTCGAATCAAGAGGTGTGTCCTACTCTCAATGTATGTGGACCCATTTCGGGGTGGTGGGTTATCAGAGGTAGGTTGGGGGTAGTTGTTAGACGACGGTCGAGGTCTCCATCATTACCACTGGTTGATTCTCCCTAGCGAACAGACATAAGCAAGGCTCATCAGAAGTAGAAAGCAACCACACACATCCACATAGACTATGATATCACATTAGCTCGCATAACAACCAGCATACTCAACAACTAACAGTAGACATATATGATCCGAGTTGTGCTAGGTTAGTGCTTAGAGGGGCTCATAGGTTAAGACCTTGGTTAATTGACCATTAGACACTGCCTATGAGTGCCCTCACTACTCACGGGACTAGCTGAGAAACTATGTGCCTAGCTCCCGAGGTTCCCGTATAACGAGGCTTGTACGCTAGTGCCTCAACTGAGGCTGAATGAGGGAGCTCATTCAGCGTCGGTGCCCGCGTCCGTTGTCTGGTCAGGTTGCTGCAGTAGAGAGTGATGTTCCTCACATGAGGTAAGATAAAAATGGAGTTGGGGTGCACCAGGAGATATATATCGAGAGGAGTGGTGGGATGAGAGTCTCGTTGTCGAGCGCATCAGTCCGACACCGCACAAGGGCAGCGCAGGACCCTCCCGACCGCGTCACGCAGGGGTTGGACTAAATTCTAGTCGCGAATATACATGGAGCTTCCGCAAGCCGCTCCGGCCGAGTGCGCCAGCCATACCTCTCGCGAGCCCCTATGACAGGATAGGGCCTACGCGAGGTACGACTTACCTCCACCTTACGGGAGTTGTCACCTCCCTTTGGTGGGCGTATCCCCGCTGAACTACCAGTCCACAATACGAAAGCTGATCAGTTACAATCGCAGAGGTGGACCAGTCAGGGGCGTTTCTCGTTCGATGTAGCATAGGGGGTATGCGTAGTACTACGCCTCTATTCGGACCCGCACGCGAACCGACGGCTGAGGTCCCAAGCGCGACTCGTCGTCGGTCGATTAGGACACATCCCACACGCCACGCGCACACCACTATAAAGAACATAAAAATATACACACACACACACACACACACACTTATACATATACATATACAGAACGACACTGAACAAAACAACGAGACAATATTCCTAGTCCCTTAGTAGCCATCCCATAACTTTCCGATGCGGAGATCGGATAGGCGTCGCGCGCGAGACTTAATATAAAACCACGCGGGCGCAGAGCTAACTCATATCGATTCGCAATGCAAGCATACGCAAACAGTCACAATGATGACGTACTATGTAGTACCTATACTTATGCGATCCTCGTTAATTTCGAGGGTCGCGTTCGACACTCAAGTGTTGGCTGACACGCGCCTTGAAGGATTGATCTCTCGACGCTGGACAACCGCCAAGTGCGGTTGGGAACCACGGAGAGTGGGTGGTTCTCAACCGCACTTAGCGGTTGTTCAACGTCGAGAGATCAGTCCTTCAAGGCGCGTGTCAGCCGACACTTGAGTGGCGAACGCGACCCTCGAAATTAACGAGGATCGCATGAGTATAGGTACTACATAGTATACCATCATTGCGACTGCTTGCGTATGCTTGCATTGCGAATCGATATGAGTTAGCCCTGCGCCCGCGCGGTTTTATATTAAATTTCGCGCGCGATGCCTATCCGATCTCCGCATCGGAAAGTTATGGGATGACTACTAAGGGACTAGGAATGTTGTCGCGTTGTTTTGTTCAGTGTCGTTTTGTATATATATATATATGTATAAGTGTGTGTGTGTGTGTGTGTGTGTGTGTTTATTTTTATGTTCTTTATAATGGAGTGCGCGTGGCGTGCGGGATGCGTCCTAGTCTACCGATGACGAGTCGCGCTTGGGATCTCAACCCCCCAAGATGCCGGTTCGCGTGCGGGTCCGAATAGAGGCATAGTACCGCGTGTACCCCCTATGCTACAACGAACGAGAAACGCCCTTGGCTGGTCCACCTCTGCGATTGCAACTGATCAGCTTTCGTACTGTGGACTGGTAGCTCGTCGGGGATACGCCCACCAAAGGGAGGTGACAACTCCCGTAAGGTGGAGGTAAGTCGTGCCTCGCGTAGGCCCTATCCTGTCGTAGGGGCTTGCGAGAGGTATGGCTAGCGCACTTGGCGGGAGCGGCTTGCGAAAGCTCCATGTATATTCGCGACGAGAATTTAGTCCAACCCCTGCGTAAAGCGGCCGGGAGGGTCCCGCGCTGCCCTTGCGCGGTGCTGGACCGATGCGCTCGACAGGTGGCACCGTTGCCGGGGATAACGAAAGCCTACCGTTGTCCCTGGTGGAACGACATCTGGGTATAAGATTGAGGGAAAAAATAGGCATATGAGGAAAGACTAAGCACATAATATCTTGCCCGATAATCTGCAATAAAATAGCTGTTGTATCTCTGAAAATTGACTGATTGCTTAAAATGGAAAGTTATGAGGGACCCTGTAAGGAGAAATGGGGCGTATTAATAATAAATCCTATAGGAGAGGGAATAGGGTGGGACCTGTTGGGCCTGAGTCATAGGCTAGTTATGGTAGAGGTCTGACGTAAGGTGGAGGTAAGTTGTGCCTCGCGTAGGCCCTATCCTGTCGTAGGGGCTCGCGAGAGGTATGGCTGGCGCACTCGGCCGGAGCGGCTTGCGGAAGCTCCATGTATATTCGCGACGAGAATTTAGTCCAACCACTGCGTGACGCGTCCAGGAGGGTCCTGCGCTGCCCTTGTGCGGTGCCGGACCGATGCGCTTGACATCGTGAGTTGCAAAAAAAAAAAAAAAAAAAAAGAGCTGTTGGAGCTACCCGAGGTTCATTCAAATACCCAACGCCATTCACTATTGGCTATCTTGGTCGGGCAATCCACAAATAGGCTATTGGGCTGGCTACCTTGGTTGGGCAATCCGCAATTAGGCTATTGGGCTGGCTACCTTGGTCGGGCAATCCACAATTAGGCTATTGGGCTGGCTACCTTGGTCGGGCAATCCACAATTAGGCTATT